GTCCGAGTCAAGACTGACCCCACCAGCGCTCTCGGTGTCCAATCTCTGGCCCTTGGCCTCAGTCTCCCCCTCTGTAAAAAAAAGCTTCTGGGCCAAGTGGTCTCTGACTGTCCGTGGCCATATGTGCGCTAGCCTCCTTCTCCCCTCCATTCTCTCCTTCCTTCTCCATTTCCAACTTACGTCCACTGCATCCCCTCCTACTGCAAAGAGAACCCTTGGAACCCTAAAGGGACTGCTGGTGGGCAAGGGGTACCAGCCCTCAAGTAGCCCAGGGCCCATCCAAGGCCTCCAAGGGTTAAGATCCAGAGTGAAGGCGGGGTGTGGGGAAGAGGCAGGGTGAGGCCTGAAGCCCAGGGCCTGTCTCCCCTCCCCCTATCCTGGGAACAGAAGCTACTTGTTTGGGCATCAGCCGGCTGGCTTTGAGCTTGGCCAAAGGGAGAATGGGGTGGGGAGGGGAGAGGGCCCTGGAGAACAGAGGGAACTCCTCCTTCCAGCCAATGGGCAAGTCCATCACTAGCCCCTAGGACTCTCAGAGGTCCCTTACCCCTATGAACTGACCCCTTCCCCCAGGTTCTGCCTTTTCTTCCTTCCAACACTCACTGCTGGGGGCAGGATTTAGACTCAGGCCCAGCTGATGCCCACAACCAGGCTCTTTCTGGAGCATGGGACCAGGGCTAGCACCCCATCCTACAGATGGGGAAATGAAGGCTCTGAGAAATCTGAGGATCTGTCACTTTATTAACATAGAGTTTAGTGGCAGCACAGGGACTACCCCACATCCCTGACATTCCCATACCTCTGCAAACAAACCCCTTCCCCACAGAGCTCCAAGGAGGCCCTTGCTAAACTGAGCCACTACACGGGCCTCACAGGCTGGGCAGCAATAAGCAACCCACGTCTGAAGTCGCAAAGGATCTAGGAGATTTGGAGGGGGGGAAACTTAGGGGGCGGGGGACAAGCAACCTGAACAAAGGGCTGAGGCTTGATGTATAGAAAAGCATGACTGGAACCCGATAGGTGGAGGTGAGGCTGGGGTCAGGTGGGAAATGCCCCAGTGAAGCTTGGGTACAATTTGGGCCTCTGCCAATTTCCACTTCCCTCGTTGTCAGGACCCTGCCTAGATCACCCCCCTCTTGCCCTACTGCAATGGGCAAATGGGGCGGCAGGCAGAGTTCCCAGGCCCGAGTCTGGACAATCCCAAACCCATGGCACGGGGTGGGGGGGGGGGGTGAGTTTTCTCTACACCCTGCCCTTGCTACCCCTTCGTGCCATACCCATATCCTCACCGCTCCTCAAACACGGCATGCAAGTTCCTGCCCTGGCCTCTGGAGGGTCCTTATCCTTCTGGTTTGACACTTAACTGCGGAGGCCCAGTCATCTCCCTTTGGTCCCTCCTTCCATCTCAGTGCCTGTCTAGACCTGCCTTTGTGACTCCGCTGGTATCCTTCTACCCTGTAATGAGCTTACTGGGAGGTCTCCCCTAGCCCAGCACACTCTGCTCTCCCAGACAGGCATCCTGGGTGCCTGTCTGGACCGTGGTGCTCAGTCAAATCCTTCCGTGAATACCTACACACACACACACACACACACACACACACACACACACACACACACACCCCAAGCCTGGGGATCTGGGAAGGATCTTAGGACAGGAGTTTTGGGGGAGGGGGTGCATATGCCAGAAGTCATGTTGTGATGGCTTTTGACGGAAGTTCCCCATCAACAAAAACACCCCTGGCGATCTGAGACCAAATACCCACTCCGCGGCCCCCAGGCTGCACTCTGAGACTGCTCTCTCCAGGCCCAATTACCCACTCCAGGCTTGACTCCATTCACTGTGAACACAAACCTCCTTTTTGTCCCTCCCCCCCAACAATTGGGCCAGGTAGGGGCTCTCGGGAGGCCATGCCACCATTGGCTGTTGGGGAACTGGGGCAGAGACCGGAAGTAGTCTTCCAAGGTCACTGCCCAGGGGGTCCTGGGCATAGATAGGGTCGTAGCAATGTGCAGAGCTGTGGGGGTCTCCGCGGTCAACGAGGTGCGCGCCTTCCGTTCACAAACGAGAAAAGCAAGGCGGCCGGGAAGGGCTGGCTCCGGATCCGAGAGCCCTTCATGCCAACGGGCTGAGGGCTGGCAGCACACACACACACACACACACACACACACACACAGACACACACACACACACACACACACACACACACACACACACACACCCCGCCGGATCCGAGAGCCCTTCATGCCAACGGGCTGAGGGCTGGCAGCACACACACACACACACACACACACACACACACACACACACCCCGCCGCACCGGTTCGCCCTCCTCCCTACGGGCTCTGGTCCCGCCGGGTCGCCCTCCTCCCTACGGGCTCCGGCCCAGCGGCGCACCGTCGGGAAGCCACCCCGCTCCCCGCCGCGAGACGGGAGGACGGACACCACCGCCTGGAGAAGCGCCCGCGGAAGTGTGTGTCAGGCACAGCATCGCCGCGGGCCTCGGCGTTCCCGTCTGCGGAATGGGAAGGCTCCGGGCCGCACCTGGGGAAGGAGCGGGAACGGGGATCCCGGCTGCCTCACTCACCTGCTCTGAGCAGAGACCACGAGGAGACCCCGGTTCCGGCCCCGCCGCTCTCCACCCCTCTCCGGCCGCAGCAGCCGCCAACTCGCGGCCTCAGGCCGGGCGCGCCCACCCCGCCGGGCGCTTCCGCCCGCCCACGTGACGCCCTGGGAGGGGAGGGCGTGGCCTGGCGTGGCCACGCCCCTCCGTGACCCCCGCCCAGTCAGAGTCTCCGAGTTCGCCTCGCCGGTGGGTGGGTGTGTGCGCTCCGGTTTGGTGTCTCCGGTTTCTCTCCCAGCGCGGAGGTCCGCTTCTGTCTCCGGAGCCTACCACTCCCCCTCCGCTGAGCGTCCCTGCCTCTTTTTTTTTTTTTTTTTAATGTATATTTTATTGATTTTTTACAGAGAGGAAGGGAGAGGGATAGAGAGTCAGAAACATTGATGAGAGACAAACATCGATCAGCTGCCTCCTGTACCCCCCCCCCCACTGGGGATGTGCCCGCAACCAAGGTACATGCCCTTGACCGGAATCGAACCCGGGACCTTTCAGTCCGCAGGCCATGCTCTATGCACTGAGCCAAACCGGTTTCAGCTGTCCCTGCCTCTTGCTATGCTGCTTCTGGTGGCTGTGCCCGCGGAGATGAGCCACACACACCCCAGGAGGCCATTAAGAGGGTGTAAAGAAACAGGACGACCAAGGTCTCTGACCTCCTCTCCGAGGAAGTCCTTCCCCACCCCATTCTCTGAGTTTATCCCACTTCCCCCCCCCCCCCCCCAGGCCACCTCCCCCTAAGGCTGGGTGGTTGGGAGGAGTCCTGCCCAGTTAGAGCACTTCAAGATCCCTTGGCTGAAGGCTGCAGCCTAAGGTTCTGGCGCCCAGGCACCTCTGGAGGCCTAAAGAATGGGAGACTCTCTACCATCCTGCGAGCACACGCGCAGATGAAGGCCCGGAGTTTGGCAAGCATTCCCGGTTCCAGTGTCCTGGGCACTTTTGGGGGCCAGCCAAGCCAGAAACCTTAGCTTTTCTATGCTTCCATTTCCCCAAATACCCCTGTGGAGTCATTCGGAAGAACACCTCTCACCAGGGTTTACTCTGAGATTGGGAGTCGTTAATATGAGCACTTACTACATGCCAGGCCCTCCTCTTATCTCAATCCTCAGACCTCTGCTTGAAGGCAAAGCTCGTCACCGCAGTTATGGATGAGGCTTCACAACTTGCCCAAAATTAGCAAAGCCAGTATTAACAAACGTGGTGAGTTATAGAATCTCTTGCCTACCCACCACTGGACCTTTGCTCTGCCCCTCTAGGGAAGTCTACAGTGCCTTCCTGACAGCGCTGAGGTAAGTGGACAGGGCCAGACCTTGGGGAGTAGAGGACAGGGACAGACCTTGGGGAAGAACTTCCTGGTCCCAAATTCCTATCGGGTACAAAAACACTGGAGAGGGAAGAACACAGCCGCCCTTCTCCCAACCTGACAGAAGGGATGTCCCTAAGGGCATAGAGGGCAGCTGGGACCACAGTGAACAGGGAAGGTCCAGGTATCCTTAGACCTCAGGGCATGGAGGTAGAACACAGGAATAAGGGGCAGGCACCGGACCACTGGTAAGGGGCTAGGGACCCTATCCTTTTTGTTAACACAAGCTGGAGGTCTTCAAGATGACCTGCGGAGGGCTCAGATCACAGGGCCTCTTCCCTCCAATGCACTGGAGTCTAATGATACTTCCACCCAACCTCTCTCCTCCAGAACATGATGCCCCAGTCTCAGTTCTGAGGCCCACAGCCCTGTGGCCTGACACCCAGGGACCTCCCCACCGCCCTTCCCTGATGACTAGAGAGTGTCAGTCCCCCAAACCATGGATTGGATGCTATGAGGCTTAACGTCACAAAATAGAAACCTGCTTCCCCATGGAGCTGAAGGTCACACCAAAGAGCCCCACCCTCTGACCCCTGACCCGGGGCCTCTAGCCAGAACTACTCCTCCTTTTAGAGCAGTGACAGGCAGTCTGGAGAGGATGGCAGAATGACCACCAAGGACAGGTGGGTGGGTGAAGAGTGAACTAATGAACAGACACAAAGGGAATGGAACATGCCTCTAAATGGAGAAAAGTTAACCACCCAACCCCCCCAGCTACACGTGGGGAGGAAGGAGGATGCCTAAAGAAGCAAAGGTCAGGCAAGCAATAAAATTAACAAAACAAACTGTAGAGCAAGAGGACCAAGAGCAGCAGCTGTGCCCCGGGACAGCTGGGAAGCAGGTACAGCGAGGAGTCGACGAGCCGGCTGAGGCTGTGGGATGGTTTATTAGGGCTACATCCAGCAAGGCCACAGTGCCAACCTGGGTCTGAGCCCAACGTCCTCAGGAGGCACAGGGGGTGCGGGAGGGGAGAAAGCCACCCCCAGGCTCTGCCCTGTCTTGTCTCAGTCCCTGTTATGGTTCCGCGCTCAGGTGAGCGAGGTATCGTCGTCACTGCCCTCGCCACCAGCACCGCCCGTACGCTCCTCGCGACTCTCGGTCACCGCACTCTCATCGATGTTCTCCAGCGAGTCCGCGTGCTGCACAGACAGCTCCGACAGCGCCAGGCTTGGCAGCGGGCTCTGCTCCGGGTGTAGCCACGGTTTAAAGTGGGGCTGGTGCTTCTGCTTCCACTCCGGGTACTTGACGCACGCCTTGTACATCTTCTTCATGGCCTGTGGGCCCGCAGCACCGGCGTCAGGAGTGAACAGGCACAAGACTGTATGGTCTCTCCACTCCCCTCTCCTGCTCTCCAGCCACTCAGCCCTCCCCCCACCTCCCAGCATCCTGAGTTCCTGCCCCAAGTTCATAACTCTGCCCCTCAGCCCTAACTTCCAGTCTATCCCCACTCCACCCGTTCAGCCCGGAACCCTCTCCACCAGCTTCCATACCCCCAAAGCCCCAAGGCCACTCACCTTGGGAGCCAGGAACTGAGAAGATTTATTCACCACCCACTTGGGTAAGGAGCCTGTGAGAGCAGGGAAGGAGAGTGAGGAGAGAAGGGAAGCAGCAGCCTCAGGCACCCAGTCCCCTGCCTCCAACCTGAGTTTCCAGGGAGGCCACCTCTCCTCCATGATATAAGTCCCATAAGACTTGATGATTCTCACCCTCTCTTTCCATTTCAGAACAAGGTCCTTAGGCTCAACTCTGCATCCCTGCCCCCCTCCTGCTGAGCCCCAGGGGGCTGCAGGGAAGAAAACTGCAGGGTTCTAGGTGACTACTGGCTACAGGTGGACTGAATTCCTGACCCAGCAAGCTCCTGCCTGCTGCCTGCCCTCCACTCACACTAACTCCCTTCTCATATCCAACCCCTCCTTGGGGAAGAGTCCTGATGCTTAGCCCCTCCTCTGCCTGTACCCCAGAAAGCCTTCTACCCCAGAAAGCCTCTTGGCTGGGCACCCCAGCCTGGCCTGACTTGGAATCCACAGCCCAGCTCTCCATCCCGTCTCATTCGCTCCCAAGTGTCTGCTCTGCCTTTGACACTCAATACACTCATTCAATGAGATGCTGGGGAGCCCAGGGCCTTGGCCATTGAGGCCTGAGTGGGGTTCAGGGAATCCCCACGCAAAGGTGCTTGGGGCTTACCCATCCTTGAGTCATCCATCCATTCATTCACTCCCTCCACATTCGCTCAGTGATACCCTCTGACCCCTCTGCCAGCCCCGGGGACCCAGAGAGGAACTCACTATCCGGGAGAGGCCAACAGTGTGCTAGTGGGGAATGGCCCACAGAGCAGGGAGCCAGTGACCCCTCTGGGTTAGGGAGAGAGGGATGACATCTGAAGCAGCCCTGGAGGGACGAGTACAGGAGAAGAGGTGTTTTTAGGCTGCCTAGACAGGGAGGTGGGAATGTGTAAAAGAGTAGGAGGAGGGGCCAGGAAACCTGGGCAGGGGGCTTAGACTCCACTCCACAGAAGAACCTGAAGCAGCAGAGAGTCATGAGGAAATAAGTGTTTTGGAAAAATCCCTCTGGTGGCTCTAGGGACAGACAAGGTGGGTTAGCATGGAGGAGAAGGACAGATTAGGAGCTATTTAGGAAATAAAATCAGTAAGAATTGGTTAGGAGGTGAGAAGAGGGAGCCTCACATGACCCCATTTTCTTGGCCCAGGTAACTGAGGGAAGACTTAGGAGAAGGGCAAGATAGGAGGGGGTTGGTGAGCTCAGCACTGGACACAGTGAGTCTCAGGTCCTACAAGACATCCTGGGGGACATGTCTAGGAGGTCGTGGCCACAGGGATCTGGATCTCAGCAGAGAGCCACGTGGTCAGCTGGCCACAGACGCCTTGGCGTGGCCGAGCCTTCCCAAGGGAAAGGGAACTGAGGCCTGGAAAAGCCAGGCCTCTGGGATGAACAAAGGATGGGAACCAGCAAGACAGAGAGCGGCCAGTGAGCGGGGAGCAAGTCAGCGTGTAGGAGTGTGAGCACTAGGAAGGGAGCTCTAAGCTTCATCGTGGGGCACTGGCTACCACCATGGCCCTTGCTTTTCAAACCGCTGTGAAGTCTCAAACTGTGGGTCAAATGATGAGTATGTCTTGGATGAATATGCCCCAAAATACAGAACAACTCTTAACAAAAACCCTTCTGGGTTCTGAGTAAATCAGGTCCCATCCCCTGGGAAATAGGAGGGGATCCCATGGCAGGCTCCAGGCCAAGCCCTCACCTTTGGGGTCCACCTGGGCCAGGTAGGTGATGACGCAGCTCTTGGGCCCCGTGCTCTGGATGAGGTAGCCCGTCTGGATGGATACAGCTCGGACCAAGTCTTTCCGAGGTGGGTATTTCTGGGGACAGAAGGCACAGGGAGGTAAGACTTAGGGTGGGGGCAAAGGAGGTGTCTCTGTGAGTACACACACACACACACACACACACACACACACACACACACAAGCGCGCGCGCGCGCACGCTTCTTGCCCAGGCCAGCTAGACCTGTTTGGTCTACCTGTCATGGAGATCACAGTGGCCCAGTGAGGGAACCTTGACCTCACTCTCCCCTTTCCTAGTCAGACCATGCAGAGCCCAACCAATGGAATTCAGCCCATCGGAGGGCCAATAGATTTCGTGTCTGGCTTGAAGTCCCAGGGAAGTCATGGCAGCAACCAGGGTCCTCTCCCTAGGCTAGGCCTGCCAGCCCAGCCCTACCTGGCACCTTCCCTGCCCACCCAGCAGGGAAGGCAGGTCAACTCACGGGATGTTTGACTGAGTAGTTCATAATGATGTAATCAGTGCCCATGGGGAGCCAGGAGCGAAGGGTGATGACATCACGATTCTTCAGGGGCTTTGGACACCTCCCTGTGGAGGGCAAGGGACAGTTCAGCCAGACCACTGGCCTGCCTGCCTGACTGCAAGGGCGGGGATGGCAGAGGCTGGCAACCCAGGGATGCCTAATTAACTGCCAACTCCCCCGGAACCAAACAGGTACCCCCGACACCACAGTCCAAGAGCTGGAACTAGGACAGAGACAGAGCACAACCCTCTCCCCTCCTGTCTCCAGCCACCCGTGCTCCTCACAACCTCACACAGCCCTTACCTTGCTGGCCTGGCTTGTTTGAATATGTGAGTGTATGGGAAAATAACGGTATTATTTGATGTATGTACATGAAAGCATGTGACTGAATACGCGGCATATGGCAGTGGGTTATATATATGTGTGCACGTGTTTGTGTGGAATGTGTATACATGAACATGGGAGTGCATGATGAGTTTGAGTGATTGTGTGTGCATGTTCACAACTGTCTGGTGGTGGACAGGGATGTCAGGAAGGGCAGCCCAACATCTCAGCACTCAGGTCTCTGAGCACCGTGGCCGTGGGAGCGACCACAGGGAGGGGGACACGGGAGGAGGAGCCTCGGCTGGAAGCCTGGTAGAGGCCTGCAGGAGGCGAGGGGACTGTGCTTGGGCCTGCTCACAAGAATAATAGCCCACGTCAGCATTGACTGTCAAGCGAGCGATGTCGAAAGTCTCAATGACGTTGCTGTCCCACTTCTTTCGGTATTCAATGTCATGTAGGACATCGTAGAGTGTCTCGGCTGGCACATCGCGGCACTCCATCCGGCACTGTGGACAAGCACATGGGTTGGCAGGGTCACACAGGGTTCAAAGCCTCGGTAAGCAGGGGTCCAGAAGGAAGGCAGGCAAGGCGGGGAGGAGGAGGAGGAGGAGGAGGAGGAGGAGGAGGAGGAGGAGGAGGAGGAGGAGGAGAAGGAGGAGGAGGAGGAGGAGGAGGAGGAGGAGAAGGAAGAGTAGGCGGACAGGAAGGAACAGTGACCTCTAAAGCCAACATGGACTCACCACTTGCCAGGAGTCCTGTCCAGCCCTCCCAGAAGCCACCTGTGCCAGGAGACAGCAGCCCCTGTATCCACGGACTATCCCCCCCTAAGCTCCCAGCAAACCTCCCCATGTGTCCGTGTTTCCTTCTCAATTATCCAGCCATGCATGAGTCCCTATACCTGTGCCCTCTCAGACTCTTGAAGTGCATGGTCGCAGGCTCACAAGTGATTCAGCACAGAACCCGGCATGGATACATGTTGAAATGAAAGCATGAATGAACAAACAAATGCCTCAGGGGATGATTTCTTTCCTCCATGGTACCTTATCACCTGGCCAGACCACTTTCCCCCTTTTTTTTTTTTTTAAATCCAACAAGCATCTTTGGATTTCTTATTATTTATTAGCCTTGCCTTCAAAGAGCTTTCTGTCCAGCAGAGAAAAGAGCCAAAGACATCTTTTTAAAAATTTAACAATTACAATAACTCTGCCACACAAGAAATCCAAGGAGGAAATCAAGGTTCAGAAAGATTAAGTAAAGTAACTTGCCCAAGGTCACCCCACTGATATGGGATTGAACCCAGATCATATGTCTGGAATGCCAGTAAAAGCAATGAGGTTTCACCAGATTTGCATTCAGCAAGATGAAACTTAGTCCACAGCCTTGTTCTATGATTTTTTCTTTTCACCCAAGGGCCCAAACCCCAGGATCAAGTTCCTCTCAGCAAGTGAACGAATTTTCTGGCATTGTTTAAAAAGATCTCCCAGAACTGATGTTCAGACAGTGCCAAGGGAAGCACACACATTGCTTTCTACTAAAAAGGGGATACATGCAACCATCTGAGGGCAGTGCCACAGCACCTTCCCCCTAATCGAGGGTTAGGCTGTGGGGCTCCTAACCATAAGAGAGGCCACATCACTACCTATTGGGTATTTTAGGAACCAGTGAAGTCATCAAGCCCTAGATATGCTTCACTTTTCAGAAAATAAAGAGGACAGAGGAACAAGCTAAGTATTACCACGAGAAGCTAAGTGTTACTAAGGGAATACAGCCAGACAAAGCCAGACGGTGAGACATCCTGCAGAGTTACTGGTCCAGTCTCTTCTGCAGATTAATGTCAGAAGGAACTAGGCTAGACTGAGAGACTTATAGGGCACAACAACCAGATGGAAAGTGTGTTCCTGAATTGCACTCTGGTTTGGAATGCAATCCAGATAAATAGAGGACACTGAGGATACCTGGAGAGATATGAATATGATCTGAGGGTTAAATGTGCCAAAAATGTGTTGAATCAAAATGGTGAAGATTGCTACCTGAAAATAAAAAAGCAGATTACAAAATAGAATGTATGGCCGAAACTGGTTTGGCTCAGTGGTAGAGCGTCGGCCTGTAGACTGAAAGGTCCAGGTTCGATTCCGGTCAAGGGCATGTACCTTGGTTGCGGGCACATCCCCGGTAGAGGGTGCGCAAGAGGCAGCTGGTCGATGTTTCTAACTCTCTATCCCTCTCTCTTCCTCTCTGTAAAAAAAAAAATCAATAAAATATATTTTTAAAAAAATAGAATGCATGGTATGCTCTCATTCGGGGTGGGAGAACTATATGCACAGAAAAAGCTCAGGAAGCACAATCACTAAGATGACCTCTGAATGAAGAGAAATGGTGGGCTTTGGTTGTTGTTGTATTTCTAATTTTTTTTTCTGTTTGTATTTCTAATTTTCTAAAATGTATATTACTGCTTCTATAATAATGAAAAAATTTTAAATAAAAAGTTCCCCACAGGACTGGCCAGTGTGGCTCAGTAGTTGAGCGTTGATCCATGAACCAGGAAGTCAGAATCCAATTCCCCATTCTCTCAGTTACCTGCCAATCCCCAGTGTGGGGGCATGCATGCAGGAGGCAGCCGATCAAAGATTCTCTCTCATCATTGATGTTTTTCTCTCTCCCTCTCTCTGAAATCAATTATATATAGATTATATACTTTAAAGTTCCCCCAGAAATATTGAGAGGTGCACTTACCACATGCCAAGTACTATCCTAAGTGCTTTATACATATTACAACATTTTATTCTTACCACCACAGTTTGAGGTTTTAGCCCCATTTTAGAATTAAGAAAACCTAAGTTCAAGGACAGACTCTGGCCCGCAGACTCATGTGACCCTAAACATGTCACCCTCCCTCTCTGTTTGCTTTCCCGATTCAGGAGGGGGTCTGACTAGATCCAATCATTTAACAACACCCCCCCCCCCCCCGTTCCAGCCCCCTGTGTAGCTCATAAGTGTCAGAGATGAACCTGGGACCTGTCCTTGAAAGGCTTCCAGCTGAGAGAGGAGACCTACTTGAAAATGAGAAGGTGCCCTACACTGCTTAGTGGTGTGACACCGAGGAGGTCAGTTCTGTGGTGTGGTGAGGAGTCGGGCTCCAGGCAGAAGCTCAGACTGGAAGGGATGTGTCTCCGAGTGGGAGAAAACAGCCCGGGAACAGGCACAGAGGAGATGAGTATGGCCTGCAGGAAGCTGAATGAGTTCCATTCGCTCCAGTTCCCAGGGTGTGGTTGGTACAGCCTAACACTTAAAGGGTCCTGGTTCCAGATCTCCCTGAAGATATATGTAATTACATAGATCTGACCTATGTAATATGTAGGTCAGAGTAAGTATAGGTGAGGCTGGAACATCTTATTGTGAAAAAAAGGACTACCCACAGAATGCTAGGGAGCTTGCCCAGAGGAGCCAGCACGACGAGCTTCCACTGGTTTGGTTGACCAATTCATCAGTGTTTACCTGAAGCGTTCCCAGTTTTAGCACTGAAATCCACATCCCAGAAAACCCTTCTGACCTAGGCAAACTAGACAGCCAGCCACCCACCATGGGCTAAAGCTGGGACAATCTGTGTATTAACATGAATAATGAAAGTAACAGACGAAACCGGTTTGGCTCAGTAGATAGTGTGTCGGCCTTCGTACTGAAAGGCCAGGTTCAATTCCGGTCAAGGCATGTACTTTGGTTGCAGGCACATCCCCAGTAGAGGGTGTGCAAGAGGCAGCTGATTGATATTTCTCTCTCATCAATGTTTCTAGCTCTCTGTCCCTCTCTCTTCCTCTCTGTAAAAAATCAATGAAATTTTATTTTTTTTTAAAGAAAGTAACAAGTTCTATTCCAGGAAGGAGGCTAGTAAAATAGGTATATACAGTTATGAATAAATAAATAAATAAATCGAATGTTTAATAAGGGTATTTACATAGTTTCAAAGTACCTTCCCATCAAATAGTTGTTACAAAGGGGAAATGAGTAACTCCATAGTAGAGAAACCTGGCAGGTCCCACCTTAATCAAGCAATCAAAGTGAACATCATTTGTAACGGAACAAGTTACAACTGGGTGCTGCCTGATAGGACAAAATGTAAAAAGTACAGGCATGCCCTGGCCGGTGTGCTCAGTTGGCTGATGTCTGCCTGTGCACCAAAAGGCTGCTGGTTCCATTGCTGGTAGGGACACATGCCTGGGTTGTGGACTTGATCCCCAGTAGAGGGGAGAGCAAGAGGCAGCCCATCGATGTTTCTGTCTACCCCTCTCCCTCCCCTCTTCTTTCTAAAATCAATAAAAACATATTTTAAAACAAAAGAATACAGGCACCACTTATGTGGTATCCCTGCCAAAGATGTATAACCTAAACCTAATCATCAGGAAAATCAGACAAACCCAAAATGAGGAACTTTCACAAAAGAACTGGTCTGTAAGTGCCAGGGTCATGAAAGTCAAGAAAAGACTCAAGAACTATATCAGACTGAAAAGGAGACTAATGAGACATGAATGAAAGAAAGAAGAAAGAAAGAAAGAAAGAAAGAAAGAAAGAAAGAAAGAAAGAAAGAAAGAAAGAAAGAAAGAAAGAAAGAAAGAAAGAAAGACAGACAGACATGATGGGAGGGATGTGATGGTGGGAGGAGATGGCAGACACAAGATCTGGCATCATCAGGAGCATCCAAACAACCGTCTATTAAGCAGCCATGGGGAGGTCCAGGTGCTGCATCAGACATTCAACACACACTCACTCTTCAAACCAGATTGAGAGCTGGTGTCATGCCTGTGCTGCAAAACAGAAAACTGAGCTCAGGAGAGTAAGCAACCTGCCCAAATCAGGCAGCCAGAAAGCCGCCTGGCAGGGATTCAAAACAAAGCCCGGTCTTGCTGTAGTCCTCACCATGGAGGAGCACTCAAGTGTGGCTTCTGAAGAAACCAGAGCGTCTCTAAATCCAAGTGTGGAAGCTGGTTTGGCTTCGCAAGTCCTCAGATGTGTACAGACAGTGAGGTATGGAGGGGCCATGATGACAGGATGCGGGTCTGCAGGTTAGAGTCCATCTGGGAACGCCTCTTCCCTCAAGCCAGCCCCAGCGCCCCAGGGCCTGGCTGCACCCACTGCTGGGCACACACTGGAAGGGGTTCACGTTGCCCAGACGTGGCCCATCCTCCCTCCGCCTTTTTGATCAGGATTGTTGTGGCTTCAGAACCAACGGCCTCCCTCCAGACAGCAGACAGGGAGCACACCGAGCAGGGTGAACGCTGCCTGCATACCATTTTATCTTCAAGACACAGATGGAAACTTCAAAGGCTGCCCAGCTTGTGGCAGACTCTCGGGGAAGGAGGCTAGTAGCAGGGCGGGGTTGGAAGGAGGGCACCGGGAAGGTAAGAAGCCTGGCTGTGGTGACCCTCCAGCTGAGAAAACTGAGGTCTGGGTGGGTCTGAGCTCCTAGCCCAGCTCTTTGCACCGCCCCCAGGAGGCAGTGTGGCTACATCTG